AAAGGAGAATGACAATTCCATGTCTCATACTTGATCAAAGTATTGCGTAACAAAAAGGATGTGATATGGTTGCATGATAGGTTACATTGGATCATCGATCCCCATGTGAATTAGATAGTTGCAATGTCTTGCTAGAGGCCACTTGTGACTTATGGGCTAATAGCATAATTAGCCTACTACCAATTTCATATGGGCCTACAGGGTCACACATAAGAATAGCCCAACTCAAGCTATAATGTCAAAGTTCATTGAATCTAGAATCATTCTAGATTCAATGAATATAATAGAGGGTGAATGAATTTTGGGGACCTTACTATCTAATTTTGGGAAGTAAACCTATTTCTATAACATCGTATAGGATGTCTCATCTAGAATTAAAGGAACTAAAGGTACAAATAGAAAATTTATTAGATAAAAAGTTCATTCATCCTAATGTTTATCTATAGGGAGCGATTGTAGGCAATTAAATAAAGTGACTATTAAGAATAAATACCCACTCCCTAGAATAGATTATCTTTTAGACCAATTGAGGGGAGCCTCTATTTTCTTAAAAATTGAACTTCAATTAGGATATCACCAAATTAGGGTTAGGAAAGAGGATACATCTAAAACAACCTTTAAAACCTGATATGGATATTATGAATTCTTGGTAATACCTTTCGAACTAACCAATGCCCTAACAGTATTCATGAATTATATAAATTGAACTTTTATATCCTCTTTGGATCAATTTGTAGTATTGTTTATAGATGATATCTTGATTTATTCAAGGTCCATAAGGGAGCATAAGCAACATCTTCGCATTGTGTTGCAAATCTAAAGAGACAAACAATTATTTACAAAATTTGAAAAATGTGAGCTTTGGACAAAAGAAATTAAATTCCTAGGTCATGTAATTTCTAAAGAAGGGGTATCAATAGACCCAACAAAGTATTTGCTATAGTTGAATGAAAAATACCCCAAAAATAAGAAGTTTTCTAGGATTGGTTGGTTATTATAGTAGGTTCATGAAAGAATTTTTTTCAAATAGCTTTACCCTTAATTAGACTAACTAAGGAAGGACAACCATTCATACGAACCCCAGAATGTAACACCAGTTTCTAAATTTTGAAAGAAAGAATGACCACTTCTCTAGATTAAATTCCCCCTAACTATAACCTCTTTCAATATCCACCTGACATTAGGAAAGGTTAACTTAATCGCCACTTACAAAACTAAACTGTACTGAAAAATCTTGTTTGAAAAGCTTGAGACCTAAGACTTAATTTTTCAAAATCATCAAAATCATTTGAGATGTAGTACACAATAATCATTACACTGTGGAAGACTAAATCTTGCATTCATTACAATCACTATATGCCTTTAAAACAAAGAAACAAAGTTTGAAAATAGGGGATGTGCTATAGCGTGTACCACATGTGTCGCGGCATGTGGCACAACCATGTTTAGCCCACTCCATGCCATGTGCTATAGCATGACATGAATACACCATGGTGCACATGATAGTTTTTGTTGCTATCATTTAATAGTTTGCAAGGAAAACTTCTAGAGTGTGCCGTTTCCATATACAATGTCCGATTGGAGTGATTCAAGTGCCCACATAAAGCTTTTTTTCTAAGCTAACTAATAAGATAAGTTTGAACATGATCCAACGATCCAATCAAAATTTGGATATTTGAGTGTAAAAAAAGTTACCTTTTCAAAGAAATTAATGCACCTAAGCACTTAAGTCAATCCTTTAGTCTTATTAGACCACTCTAGGCCTTGAACCAAATTCAATAGGACCTTACACACCTAATTGACCACAGGCCATAATTACTTCAATTTCACTATTACCTCATATGTTTCCATATTCACAACACATTCTCAACTAAACCTTAGCCCCTGTTTCTGGTTTCACCACATATTTTCACATAAAGGTTAAGATTTATACAATTACTATAAATCTCTACAATTTCAACATTGCACAACTTATAACAATTCAAAACATGTATGCAAATCTTATGGAATCTTTTGTTCACAACATTCATAGTAGTTGGAGCTCATTACACAAAACTCAAAGATGCACGGCTTTATCAACACTAAGCCAACTCTAAATATTTTTCCTTTCCTTGATCACTACTCTGTCCTGCAAAAATGTAACCATGAGATGTGATAATAATCTCAATAACAGAATAACTTTCTACTACTAATTATCACATGTAACTATGAGCAAGTATAGCATAATATACAATTGAACATACCATATAGCATATGTTTCATTTCAGTAAGATTATATTTCACTACTAATCACCACTTTTATAAACCATTTTCTCATCAATTCACCTCTAACAACATATAGTATGATTACTACCATCCGAACCTCCAAATCACCCTGACTCAAAACCATAGGCTCACCTTAGATCAACACACACACTCATTGGCTTTGAGCTCACATTCAATGATAGAATCACTTAACTAAATGTATTTTATCTCACTTTCAAACTATGGTTTCCTCCATTACACATAAAGGGATGTTGTTGGCTCCAACACCACATCACAAATGCTAAGGGGTTTAAATCTCTAACATCTCTCCTCAATAGGTATTAAGGAGATAATCTCCAACAAATGCACCTCAATAAGTACTAAAGAGATACAATTCTCTAACATTGCACCTTGTCGAGTACTAAAGAGAATATGCCATATAGTCTTTCACTACTTCTTTCTACGGGTGAACTCCTACCCCCACGGTTATGCTTTTATACTAATCATAAGTATACATACACATCCATACAGATATAATATAATATATATATATATATATATATAAAGTATATAATTTCATGTTTCCACTTGTTTCTTTGGTCAAAATCTATTTTCATGCAACAATCATGCAATGTCACAAAACATGCTTAGTTTAAAACAGTTTCATGCATTATCTATAGTACTTTCAAACAGTTATAGTTGATAATCAACTAGAGGAAGTTATTCAATTATTTAAACCCTTCTGTCACAAGAAAGGTTACCTTAGTACTTTCTCAATCGCTAACTAATCTCTACCAAGTTCTCTTCTTACTCTACACTTCAAATATGTTAATCTACACGCATTTGACACAATTAGTCAATTGATCCCATTGACTAAAAATACTTAATTGTTATTTAAGGCTATATTTAACCATCCATTCCTTCCCACCAAACCAATTTAGATTCATTTTCACTCAATTGCCACTAATTCACTTCTCTAAACCCCAATCTACTTCTTTCACAATTTCCAGCCTTAACCTTAACTCATTTAGGGTCAATTTAAGCTTATAGGTTCAAAGCTTTATCGGTCAACTCCAAACCAGTAACAAAGTCATAATTTAACTTCCAAGAACCTTTTTGTTACTATAGGGTAAGAAAATAACCCCTTAAATTTTTCCAATTCAATTTCTCTATAACTTATACTAAGAAAAATTATAGTAGAATTAAAGCTAAAGGTTGTATGAAGCTTACCTGAAAAGTAATTAGTTGGAAATGCCTTCCAAGCTCCCAAACTCTATTGCCCTAATAGAGATCTCCCTCTTCTCCTCTCTTTTTCATGTTTCTCTTCCCTTCCTTTCTAAATTTCACGAGCTATCCACATACTTATCAAGTCATTTTCTATACCATGCATCATGGCACGTGGCATAGTGAGGGAAATCCTTACCAAGCAAACATGCTTCACTCCGAGATGTAGTTCTTCCACCCGTATCTATTCATTAAACATCCTAAATAGTCAAATTGTCATGTTATCTTCCAAATCTCTAATCATTTACTAATTACTAATTCACCCGTGATTAGTAACTAATTACAAGATTGGAAATTTCAGATGTTACACTAACCGGCAAGAAAATTTTGATGTTTATACTAATGCATCCAAAAAGGCTTATGCATCTAGACAACTTTGGACTCATAAAGTAAACAACCCTATTCATGATTTTGAATTAGCGATTGACATGTTTGCCTTAAAAACTTAGAGGCACTAAATGTATGGAGCTAGTTTTGAGGTTTTCAATTATCATAAAATTCTTAACTATCTTTTTGATAAAAAAAGAACTGAATATGAGACAAAGGAGATGTTTAGAGTTTATTAAAGGTTATGAGTTCAATCTCAAATATCATATAGGAAAATTGAATATAGTTGTAGATGTATTTAGTAGAAAATCTCTAGAAGTTTTCCACCTAATGATAGAAGAAACTAAATTGTTAGAATACTTTGGAGACAACAGACTCTCAATGATGATCTTGCCTCATAGTGTAAGGTCTCTCATACCTAACCACGTTTGACTCCAAAATTAAGGTAATCAAGGAATTAACTCTCAGAATTACCAAAGTTGTAAAATTGCCTTAAAGAGAAGATTTTTCAAAATTATAAATAATAGAATCCTAAAACTCAATTTTCAATCTCAAATTAGACAATTAACATGTTCAAAATAGAGTTTGAAAGTAATGCAGAAGCTTAGAAAACAAATGGAACCAAAAATAATGAGCTTTAAAACTCAAAACTGGATTTTGTGCAGAAAACGACACGCGTGCTGTGGCTTGTGACTTATGCAACGCGACTCATCCTTCTATGTGCTATGCACCGTGTCGCATTGCACGAATTTGACAACATCAGTTGTTGTCATTTGATAGCACAGGGAGCAAACTTTTGATGTGTCCCAAATCTCTATCTGACGTCCTTGAGATGGTTTCAGTGTCTACACAAAGCTTTCTCCTAGCTCTAGTTAATTGTACTGGTTTCATACTCAAATTATTTTTTTATAAAAAGTTGGATATTAAAACCCATTTTACCACATTTTCAAAAAAATCTCACAATTTTGGTGCCCTAACTCAACCATAAGTGCCAAAAGCCTGCACTGACCATCTGATCACACTTAATAGACTCTAGTGGACTTGTGCAACGTACCACACACAATCAAAAACATATATATATATATATATATATCTTAAAATCACCACTCACTTGATTTTCACAAAAAACATAAGGGGGAGGAAAATGTTGCACAATATCATCATTTTCATTCCAAATCTTTCAAAAATATAAATGTTTCTACTTACACAAGTATTTTGGCCCTATCCACGAGTTTACAACCAAAACTCACTAACCCGAAGCACAAAATACATAAGTTGCACACAAACTAATGCAAGTAGTGCAAAATAATAACAAGCGATCATAGTTGGCAATTCCATTAACATATACACATAAAAATAACAAAGAGATGTATACAGAAAGGATGACTCAATAATCCTAAGCCTCAGTGTGTTTTCCCTGACTTGGAACTGATAAGCTAAGCCCTGAAAATATAGAGAATTAAGGGGTGAGTACAACCACTCAGTAACCAAATCTTTACCTAATCTATACAGTTGCGTATCAATTGTAAATAGATGCAATAGGCAAACAAGCACAACATAATCATACTAAGATGGAATTGGCCACGGTTCACAAAACTAACAACCATGTGATCGAGCCCACAACACATATAATCATGTTATTTTGTAAAGCACAACACAGGGTCACAATAATATCAACCGTGCGCCCCTAACACATGCCAGACTACAATACTGACAATCATGTGACTGGATTTATATGCATGATTGAATGCCAACCTTATACTCTCCTATTACCTCCGATATAAAACCGGTGGCTATCACATGGCTACGTCCTTCACGGACTAACCTAGCCTTTCACTTTTGAGGAGCTACTAAGCCAATGTTAACTCACTCACTTATGTAATCCAGTTTTCCTCAATACTAACAACCATGGGGTGTCGTACCCCTAACCTAGCCTCCTCATGAACTGGCAGAGACTAGTTAGGTTCGAGTCCCTCATAGAATAAGTGAGACAGTCTCAAATCAACCATGGGACAAGGACTACCCACCGATTTCAATGATTGATGCCAAGGTAAGTTCTCGATTCTAACGGTCACTGCCAATACCATGTGTATTTTAACCAACTACTCCTTTCCTTAAGCAAACTCCCACCAATGATCATGCTATGCACATTTCTTACATAATATACATTGCAAACAATCAATTCATGGCACATAAACTCACATACTCATATTCAAATTCTCCACATACTCATCACATTACACATCACAATTCTCCACCTATAAAAACAACCATAATCACATTCATAAAATCACCAATGGGTGACATAATCAAGGGTTTCCTTCACAAAACCATTTCACAAATTAAACCCAATGCCAATATGCATCATTAATTTAAATCATCAACCACATTTCACAAACACAGTTAACATTCAACTATAAAAAATTAGGTTTCCCTCAGTTACCTTAAACCTTTGAGAGGTCAATGGTTTCCCCCTCACACAAAATACTTTCAAAGCTTCTCCCAAGCTTGAATGGTACCAAAACAAAACTCACTATAATCATACATAAGTGTATCATCACAATCCCACTATTAAGGATTAACCAACATTAATTCCACATTTTCTCTACTCTACCAAACCCACAAACCTCTACCAATTCATACCCAATGGGTCCATTAGGCTCTATTAAAGTACATTATCATTGTTAACTCCTCAAGCTACCATTAATGGTCCACCAACACTTCCAACAACTATATTTATGTTAATTTTAGATATTTATTACTCCCATGCACCAACCACTTCAAAAATCATTAATGTTGTATTCCAATACCTTAAATAACTCCCATTATACACATTTTAATCAATGGGTTCAGCCCACACTCTAATGGACTAAAAACAAACTCTCCAACTCAAATCCTATCATAAGTCTTCATAAATAAGGGAGAGAAAGGAAGAAAAAGCCATAGATTATTTACTCTGAATGTTTAGGAGCTTCGATCTATCACCAATATGTTCCAACAAGCCCTAGCAAAGCCAAAGTCGAACTTTTCGCATTTCTCTTCTTTTTCTTCTCTAATTTTTCACACAAAAACAAACTGATAAAGTCAAATTTTTGTTCTTGCACTGTGACACACGTTGCCCTCCACCATGGCACATGGCACAAGGAGGCCGTTACATTTAAATATGCCCCTGTGCACTGTGGCAGATTGACCACATGCCGCGACATATGGCACAAAGGGCATTCCTTCACTTTTTCTTCCTCTTTCCTTGCCCAGGTGGCCCGCCATCGATCCTAACCCACTTCTAGGGTTGAGATTATAATAAAATACACTAATTAGGCCCCTCTGGCCACACACCTCATTAACTCACTAATCACACTCATTGGGTTAATAAATCAAGATTAAATTTTCCTAGATATACATAATGTATGATTAAGTACTCTAAGAATAGGTTGTGATTTGAAGGATTAAATTAACCAAGCTAAAAAAAAAATCCATTCCTGCATAGTCAAGTGAATCACAAGGGATTTTCCAAAACTAATGATGGAACAATTCTATTTCAAGGAAGAATTTGTGTATCAAAAACATGCAGCCTTAAAAAGAAAAGTCTAAAAAAAGCACATAAAAATAATTACACTATTCACCCAAGATCTATAAAAATGTATGAGGATCTAAGAATAATGCATTGGTGACCAAAAGTGAAGAATGAAATTGCTAAATTCGTGAGTAGATGATTGACTTATTAGAAAATCAAACTAGAGCATTAAAAACCCTCTAGTCTTCAAACGTTAGAGATTTTTGAATGGAAATGAGACCATGTTACTATAGATTTATAACTAGATTGCCCCAAGCCCAACCAAGCAAAGATACTATTTGGGTTATAGCTAATAGGTTAACCAAATCATCCCATTTCCTTCCCATAAAGATTATTGATTCCTTGGAAAAACTTTCTCAATTATACATTCAAGAAATAGTAAGATTGCATGGAATACCAACAAGTATAGTTTCTAATTGTAATCCTAGATTTACCTCAAGATCTTGGGGAGTGTTACAAGGAGCTTTTGGTACTAAATTATATTTTAATACAACTTATCATCCTTAAATAGATGGTCAATTTAAAAGGAAAATTAAACCTTAGAGGATATGCTTAGGTATTGTACAATGGATCAAGATGAAAGTTGGAAGAAACACTTATCATTAGTAAAATTTGCATATAATAATAGTTATCATCCAAGCATAGAAATGACACCTATGAAGGTCTTTATAGTAGAAAGTGTAGGTCACTTTTTTGTTGGTTTGATGGTTACTTGGACTAAAATCAATGCAAAAGCCCACTAAGCAACTTCAATTAATACAAAAAAGAAATTTAACAGCTCAAAATAGATAAAAAAAATTACGAAAATCAAAGAAGAAAACCTTTAGAGTTTGAAGAAATAGCCCATGTATTTTTGAAGATTACTACTGGCCCTCCCTCTTCTTACTGTTAGCCCTTCCGAGTACAATTTATTCAATATAGGGTACACTGGTAGTACAACTTTCCCAATGATCGAATTGCCAAGGGTTTGACATAACGCACACCTTTGGGGTTCAATCCCACAACCTCCCCTACAAAGTGAAGAAGTGGGCAACATTGATAGTGAACATTGGGTTTTAAAAAGACAATAAGAGCATAAAGTTGAAGTAACAAAGATAAGAATGTTAAAATGGACATGAGAAAATACACAAAAAGATAAAATATAAAATGTGCATGTATGAAAAAAAATGAGCATGGTAATATGAGAAAAAATGGTAAAAAAAAAATTTGGAATGACTTAGATTAAGAGAGTGGAGAAAAACCAATCATAGTTAACAATATTTTTAAGAACTTGAAAGATAATATAACCCAATAGCATTATACAATTCATGTAACAAACCCAATCTAATAAAATAAAGCTTGTTGATGCTAAACTACAAGAAAGAAAGTTGTCTTCACTATGTGAGTTGACTTGGGCCCCAAATCTGATTAATGACTTGTTCCATGCAAATAAATTAACATACATCGTTTAGATTAAATACATAATTGGACACCATATTATGAATAGAAATATTATGGAATAACATTTTCAATTTAATAATTGATACACTAAAAAATTGATGGGAGAATTATATTGAAGGACCAAATTCAAAAATTAATCATTAAGAAATACTTCACATTTACCACCCATATACTGCAAATTTATAAGACATTTCACACTATTTACCACTCATACAACAAAAATTTACAAGTGGAACAAGTATTTACCATTGACGGCTCTTAAGAGTACATAATTTGTAAATTGGTCCTTGGAAATAATGTTCCAAAATTGATTCGCAAAAAAGAGGCTAAGAGCGTCTAATGAACCTCCTCTTCTTGAGTTTTCCTTTAAAAAAAAAAAAAAAAAACTACAGGCTAGATATAAACACGCATCTCATGAGGCACCATAGAGAGTCATCCAATCATTAGATCCCTCTCCATGAATCTGATTCATTCAAGAGGCCTCAGGTGAAACTGCACAATACAATTGTCACTTAAGAGGTTTCGCAAACTGAATGACTTCTAATAAATTATTCACAATTTTCGACTGACAGTACCTGGTTTATTTTGTTTGCAGTTGATACACACTGCAATACTTTTTTTAAGAGTAATATTCAACTATAGTAAGTGGAAATTACATGGCAGCTACTGAGTAGGTTTGGAATAAGTAGGATAGGATCATCTTTAAGTCTCCGGGTTGAAAACCAGTGTGATGATCAATGAAGTAAGGAACCTGTGAAAAGAAATTTCCAGAACATGCAAGGTTTGTGAGAAAGATTTCTGGTGATGACAGTAGTTAAGGATGCCCAGTCAACAATTTAGCTGGAATACCAATGCAAATGGGATTAATATTGATTAGGGATTGATTTTATAGAGTTGAAGTACAGTTTTGCCCTAGGATGTTTTCAGAGTAGTTATGGGGACCCTAAAGAAAATTATGAAGCAATAAAGCACATAATCTTTAAAAACTAATGCAACGTTGCCATTTTTTTAACAGTTAGCATAAAGTCAACTGTTGGTATGCGTTGGGAGAAATTTTTTGACATAATATTGACTTAATGTTGGCCGTTAAAAATGGGCAACATTGCACCAGTTTTGAAGATTACATGTGACATTGCCCTACAATTTTCCTCTTTGGAAATACTCCTGAAGCAAAAATGTACTTCAACCTTCATAAATCAATCTCTAATCAATATTAATCCCTACAATCACGCCTATCATAACTAATTTATACAATTTAATCCCTAATCAATATTAATCTTCGCAAACACTCCTATTGTAATAACAAAGACATGTACATATATAGGAAATCAAAGCATATTCTCAAACCCATCGGATCATGGATATTAGTCATGTCTAACTTGTTAAAAATGTCGTCGCCATTCAAAGTTTTTGTGAAAATATCACCCAATAGATCTCATCTTTCAACATATCTTGTAGAGATAATTTTTTTCTTGAATCTTTACTCGAACAAATCTCAATCTTGCTGTGCTTGGTGTGCTCATGAAAGAAAGGATCAAAGGTGAAACATAAGATAAGATTGATCGTCACACACTAACTTTGTTGGCAATGAAAATTTAAGGCCAAACATGCTCAGCAATTGATATATCCATACAACGTCAGATCTTCCACAGGTATGTGTGGTGATTCAGCATTAGAACAATATAGTACATTGACAAACCTATTAGCTTTGTGGGCCAAGCCCAGTCGAAATCCTGTTATTTGGGGATTTGGGGATTTGTGATTTATTTTTATCTTTCTCATTTATTGTATAGGAGGATTCTTAGGGTGATTATTATCTTCGATACTAAATCAGACCCTATTTTACAGGGGAACAGTAATGGAAAATCAATTTTCACAAAAGCTCGTACCTTTTTCCACAAACCTACAAGAGAAATAGGGCCCAAGAGGCCAGCAAATATAAGAAATGAAGTCTGATGCAATGTGGGACTCTAGGGTATTGTGCAAAGGAAAATGAAGGCATTGCTTTGCAGTTGGCTTGGGAAGAGTCCTTTTTCTCGAATGTCAGGGAAGACCTCATTATTTTGGATTCATATTCTGTAACTTCGTTTCCAATTTTTGCTATGTTGCTGTTACTGTGAGGATTAGCGATTATGCGGTCATTTCTCTACCCCCGTTCTATGTTTGCATTTGGTGGGTTCATCAATCTAAAGGAAGCAATAACTTCAACCAATGGTTTCGGGTCAGAATTTTTCAGAGAACTCATGGGAATTTCAATGGGTGATGGAGAATTCATGGACTTATGGCTCAAATACCATAATGAAAATTCAAAGCACAATTCTCCATATTCTTCAATCATAGGTCAAGTTACATGTCTCGTTATTCTAAAGGATCAATATGCTAACAAGTTTCCTCAAATCAAATCCTAACATCCTGGATTCTGTTAAGTACATCAATAACAACAACAACAACAACAAGCCTTTATCCCACTAGGTGGGGTCGGCTACATGGATTGCAAGACGCCATTGTGCTCTATCATTTATCAAGCTTTTAGGAATATTATTAATTAAGAGATCGCGTTCAACAACTTCCAAGAGTGTTCTCTTAGGCCTTCCTCTACCTCTCTTAATCGGACTCAAAGTTATATGTTCCACTCTTCTCACTGGTGCCTCCCTTGGTCTTCTTTGTACATGTCCAAACCATCTCAACCGATTTTCTACCAATATTAAAATAAAAATGGAAATATAGTATTAAAATAAAACAACAACAACAATAACATGCCTTATCCCACTAGGTGGGGAGTATTAAAATAAAACAAACCACAGAAAGAAAAACTGCATATCTGGGATAAAGGAATTAGTATTTAGTACTAGAATCAGATTCGCACCCATATACCTAAGCAGTTTAAAATTTTTGGCTAAAATCTAACCTCTTTAGATCCTGAAGCAGCAAAAAGTAAGTCCTTCTGGCAAGATCCATCTCCCACATTTTGAAGAATGTAAGGGAGCTCCAGTTCACATAATGCCTCACGCACAATTCTTGCATACTTGAAAATGTAGAAGAAAATGATGGAACCAAAACCAAAATGACTCAAAGATGCTATTCTATTGAACTGATTATGAAAAACAAGATAAAAATCCTTTGCCAGTGTATGGACTAAGCAAGACGAAGACATGGCCGGTGAAAAATTAATAAAACAAAAGGTTGGCACACCCACAGATGGAAACGAATACCAAAATGACCAACTACATCATTGAAACACTAGAAGAAATGACCCCATCACAATCTAAGAATTGGACGAAAGATAGCATATAGAAACACTCCTCTTGAGACTCACCCGGCACAAAGCAAGTTTCTTCCTTCCCTTTCTCTCAGACCTTAAACCCCTTTTAAACCTCTTTCTTGCCGCCTTCTCGGCCACCCTCAACAGCATACATCCCTTCTGACAATTGATTACAACACCTATTTCTCTCTCTCTCACACCACACTAACAAATAATGCATACATTACCCCAGCACCCGAAAGTCCCAACCGTTTAGCAAATCATAGATTCCATTCCATATCTCTGTCCCAAAAAAGAAAAAATTAGTAGGGGTATATTAGAGAATGAGAAGGATTATCTTACAGCATTGTTTTCATAAGAGAAGAGCTCTAATTTTTCAGGTGGAGGACCAGGACTTGAACATTCTCATAATGTCATTCCTCTACCTGCTTGAAGTAATGTTGGCAGCCATCCAGTGAACAAAGTGCTGGCTGAGAGAGAGAGAGAGAGAGAGAACACTAAAGAGCTGCAAAATGTGGAACCATGGCATAGGAAATATGGTGAACTACCCAGCGTTTTTTGTTCAAAAGATATTTTGTATTTGCTAAGGAAACCTGTTCATAAGTCCTTAAGGGTTACTATGTTGCCCAAAGTAAAGATATAGAAATAAATTATATGCTACGATACTTTCATGTAGACTCCAGAAAATTTAGAAGTGCTATAGCCCTTTCTTGATACAGTATTACCCCAATTTTAACTAGTGATGATTCAACACTGTTCTGCTCCCCTAAAAGATATGATTTGTAGCAGTGACATATTCTCAACAAAAAAACAATCTTTCATATCTGATACCTTTCCAAAAGACCAGTTGATGGACTTCTGCCTTCTCCACATCCCTCAAATAAGTATTTCACAATGTCATCTACATAAAGAAAGACCAAAATAAGAAAGCAATGGGATATTTGATATAAGGGGTTGAGATAAGGGATACATATTTCATTTAATATATTAAATACAACAACAACCACAAGCCTTATCCCATAAGATAGGGTCGGCTACATGAATTGTATAATGCCATTGTGCTTTATCATTTAGTATATTCAAATTTGTCAAGATTTATTCATTCAAATAGTGGCTTGTATTTATTTATTTATTTATTTATTTTTAACTGTCCTAGTTTCAGTTGTCTTAATAAAAATCTTTTAACTGTCCTAGTTTCAGTTGTCCTAGTGTAATATTTATATTGAAGATAGGCTCATTCCTTTATATTAGGTCCAGTGGCTTCTCCTAATCCTATTGTCTAAGTATTATATCCCTAATTTCATGGGATCAAATAAATTATCTTTATTGCCTTTTATTATTATATTTTTATCATCTATATCTTAGGAGATTTGATGGCATGATTGTTGCTATCCAACTCCTGTATATTGTAATGCATTCTATGTTAAAGAATGAATAAAAACATTACAAATTCCCACATGGTATTAGAGCTCCAGCCTATGAACATAACTCCTTCCCTCTCACTGCACATAAACTTAACGGGGACAACTATCTACAGTGATCCGAAAGCCTGTTGATGTTCATACAAGGGAAAGAGAAGAGAACTATTTAAATGGTGATGCTCCCCAACCACCCCTGGAAGAGACCCAGAATTTGATAACTGGTACAATGGAAACTCAATGGTGATGAGATGGTTAGTGAGTTATGAGTCTCGAGACCAATGAGGAATACCTCCTAGCCAAGACCTTAAACAAGTGAAAACAATGTGATTTGTTTCAGTTAAAAGGTATGATCAAGATCTTAAACAAGGTGATCAAAGGGTTGTGATTTACTACTTTACTCTGCAGAAAATCATGCAGTAAATCAATCTACATGACAGTCAAGAGGGCATGAGCATCAGATCATGGTTTATATAAGATGTTGGTTGATCAAGAGAGAATGTATGAAGGGCTTATAAGTGTGAAATGAAGTAGGATTTATACGTGCAAAGGGCATCCCCGCCCAATCAGTTAGTCCCTAGGATGAGCTCTCTTTTTAAACTTGTGCTCATAACATTGACTCACTATTCTCAAAAAAAAAATAAATAAATAAATAAATAAATAATTGGGGTAAGTGAAGCTATGATGATTACTGCCTACCTAGCCAATAGATTGGCATCCAAAGTTCTAAATTTCCAAACTCATGCAAAAAATATCCAAAGCCTACCCTAACAATCATCTCATTTCCTCTATTTCTCAAAGGGTGTGTGACGTGCATAATTATCATGGTAGTAAATCCTAGATCATCCAAACTTGATCCATTCAAGATCATGACAGTCATGATCCACCTCTTTGTCTCCTTATGTGACAGGGGTAACACTTATTGCAAACCTAGAAGGACAATTGGAGACTAGGGATGAGATGCTGAAACTTCTAAAGGATAGTTTGCGCAAGGCATGGGATAGAATGACAGCTTATGTTGATCAACATAGAAGAGAAGTTGAATTTAAAGATGATGTTGTTTGGTTGTGATTACAACCTTTCCGTCAACGATCACTCACTAAGTGGAAGTTTGAGAAGTTGTCCCCTCATTTCTTTGGCCCTCACAAGATTCTTTGGTATTGACAAGTAGCTTATGAGTTGGAGCTACCTTAGGATTCTAGGATTCATCCCATTTGCCATTCGCCACTCATGTGCCAAGCCTATGGAAAACGGTTGACTACTCCAGATTCTTTACCATTTTGCAGATTTTGAGTTGCAATTGCAGCTTGTTCAAGTGCTAACTCATCATAAGACTCACCATAACTCCCTAGAATTGCTGGTGTAATAGCGAGATTAACCTATAGAGAAAGCAAGCTAGGAGGACTATGACCTCTTGCAAGCTCAATTGCCTTTTTTCCAACTTGAGGACAAGTTGAGTTTTTGAGGAGGATAATGATAAGAAACCTCTGCAAACTTATTTCAGAAGAGGAAAGCATCAAAAACTGAATTGTATATTTTTTTTTTATTTTGGTGTTGGTTATTTCAAATTATTTGGAATAATTCTATTTGAGAGATTTTAGGAGTTGCTCAGCAAAATAAAGAACCATATCTGTTGTTGAAGTGGTTCAATATCTAGTTTGCTATTTTCTAGCTATTGGAGTTTCCTAAGATATTTTAAGGATTACTCAGAGTTTATTTAGTTATTTGGAAATTATTCCAACTCTATAAATAGGCTTACAACTCAGAAGCTAGTAGTCATATCCAGAAATACAAGTTCATTTTATCCCTTTGGATAAAGTGAGATAATTGCTTCATATTTTCTTAGTATAATTATTTTGCCTTTATCTTTTTATCAGTTTGAGCACTTCCCATCCCAATAGAGATAGGATATCCTGCTAAGGAGATGTCCTAACAGCCAATTTGGTTCGAGGAATCATATGTAATGTCATGGGATGCAATGGTAAGAAATAGAATGTAATGTAATGATAATTATCATGGATTTGTTTGATATGACATTGGGAATGTTTAACTAAATTAATTTTTTTATATTTATTTAAATACTTATAAAAAATAAAAAGAATAATGCAACTTCAATAAAAATAAAAGAACTCCCTTCCCTTTTGTTGGTGCTTCTTCCCTATTGCCATGATCAACTCCAAAATCCAGAATCAAAATCAAAATTACAAAACAAGGATGTTAAACAAATCCTCTTCACCAAGTGCAATTGTGGGCAGTGAGTGCCAAAATGAGGGATGGTCGAGGAGAGAGAGAGGGAGAGACGAGGGGTGAATGACAATGTGGGAGAAATGGCAGAGTTAAAGCAACCAAAGTGAGAGGGTTGAACGGGGTGAGAGGCTTGCCGGAGTCATCTGCCAAAGGTGGACAACGATGATGAGGACATCACTCTATCAATAGTTGTGGACAATAAGGCTCTAGCATTGACGTGCTAGACTTTGACGAAGGTGGATGGACTTCGGTAATGAGTGAAGAGGGAAAAAGAGGAATATAGAGAAGGATATGATTGTCTTTTAGTATCAATGTAATGCCTATTACATAGTTCCATGATGAAATGAACCAAACGGGTCCTAAATATCTATAATCTATAACTATATCCTAAAAGTAGAAAATATATATATATATATATATTATTCTGATTATACTTAACAGTAAATGATAACAAAAAGACTATAAAAAAATAAACAAATAAATTCTTCCAACACATATAAATAACAAAAATGAGATATCCCCATACTTTTCTTAAATTCTTGTAAGAAAATACAAATTGATGCCATTCCACATATTTGATGAAGTTGCAAATATAGGTCTCAAAACATCTAGAAGCATTATTGTTGCAGCTATGAGAAAGAGTCATCTTCTTAAAATAGAGATTTGACAAATCAAGGGATAATTAAAAAAAAGATAATATTGATAATTTTATGTGAAGCGAATGCAGCCAAGTGCTAACCTCTATAGAAAGATCTAGCTCAGACAAGGCCTCTCGAACCCTTCTACAAAAAGGACATGCCTTTGTTGACAAATGATATTTCAAAGATTTAAGGAGGGAGATTTAACAAGGGAAAACACATATTATATAATTAAATGACTGCTATATATTGATAGGAAATATGGGAAAACTTGATATAGAAGTGTAGAAATATCAATATTTACTAATTTTTGTTAAGATATTATTATTATTATTACTACTACTACTACTACTACTGTTGTCAGAATAGATAGAATTCTTACTTGTTGTAAGGCATAAATATGCTAGTTGATAGTGCATGGTTGTATAAGGCAGGCTATGCATGTATAGGGACTCATTAGCTAGGATATTCTTTGTGTATAAATAATCCCTCTAATCAGTTGAAATAATACAATAAGTTATTCAAAATTTACTTGGTATCTGATAGAACCACTTTTGCTGCAAAGGCCTATAAGAGAAGGCTTAAGAAGATTCAAGAGAAGGGAGAGAAACTTTCTAATAGTCAGGGCATTGACCTTGAGACTCCTAACGTTAAGCAGAAAGAAACGAGCAATTAGAGTTGCTATAGGTCTGGGCTATGAGATGGTAGCATTGGAGACTATAAATGTGTTATAGTTTTATAAAATGTTAATATTAATTAGTTAAAACGGTTTAGTTAGCGGTGCTGTGAAATTAGCCGTTAGGTAAGTGAGTGAGCGCATATATATATTAAGGCATTTGTATTGTAGTTTCTTATCTCAGCAGTGACTAAATAAGATTTCCTTTGTTCCTCGATTTCTCTCGACCTCTCTTTAATCTCTCATTTCTCTCTGACTCTACCTATCTTTATGTTCTTCTCTCATCTTTTCCCTCATTTCTTCCTAGTTCCTACAAGCTCAAATTATTCCTACACAATAGTGGTATCAGAGCTAATGCTCCTCGGCCTCTCTCTCTCCCCCCCCTCCTTCTCTCTCCCCGATTCGCATGATATATGGTCAAGACTCGGAGACACATCAAACAAGATCAGCATCAGATGGAAGACTGCTTGGTCAAGATTGAAGAAAATAATGGCAAGATTGAGGCTTTGACTGACCTGGTTGATGGGCTCTCCCAGCAACTCCAACTACTGGTTAGGGACCAAGATGCTGAACAAGAGGGTAATCCTCGAAACAGACAAAACCTTGACCGGCACCATGACCCTGATGATCATAGGCACTGAGAAGGGAATGACAAAAGAGAATATAGGAGACCCACTCAGTTTACAAAGATGGAGTTTCCCAGGTTTACAAGAGAGGATGCGCTCGGCTGGCTCTTGAAGTGTGAAAGGTATTTTAAGCTAGATGAAACGCCGGAAGAATCCAAGATCAAGATTACAAGTATCCATCTTAACCACGAGCCTTCCAGTGGCATCAAGCGTACAAGAAGACGTGGGAAGGAATGTGGCCTACCTGGGAAGAATATACCGAGGAAATAAAAGACCGCTTCGGACCGATTCATGAG